AAATTAATACTATGATTAGGGTAAAATATATAGTATATTATTGACTCATCAGTAAGTCTACTTTGAAACCATATAATTATTGCTCAAAATAAAGTTTGAAATCGCAAGAATTTGAGGTTCAAAATACTTAATTAGAATTTGCCATTTCCAAAAAAAACCTTCAATATAGGGTAATTCAACTTAGTAACTTGGCTTCTAACAAACAAATCAAATTGAAATCAGCATCTTTCAACATAAATAAGAAGAACATAATCAAAATAAGATTATTGAATCAAAAGAAAGAATTTAATATCTCACCCAATGAAACAACTTCTTCTTTTCAAACTAAAAATCATTTTCTTCTTTTCTCCCTAAATTTTCTCTCTAACTTTCTGATAGCTGTTCCCAACCCAAAAGTGGATTTCAGCCCTCTGTCTTTCTAAAGTTTTCCCTTTTCTCATTTCTATCTGAAGAATACACATGCCAACACTGTAACATCCCACATCGTTCAGGGGAGTGGATCTTGCAAGCCTTATATGTATATTCTCATCTCCATCTAGCACGAGGCCTTTTGGGAGCTCACTGGCTTAACGTTCCATCAAAACTCCGAAGTTAAGTGAGTTCTTGCGAGAGCAATCCCAGGATAGGTGACCCTCACCACATCCCAGACTAAACTCCACCATAGCATGATATTGTCCGTTTTAGGCCTCTACCACACCCTTACAGTTTTGTTTCTGGGAACTCACACGAGAATTTCTCAGTGAGTTGCCTATCCTAGGATTGCTCTCACGCGAACTCGCTTAACTTCGGAGTTCCGATGGAACCCAAAGCCAATGAGCTCCCAAAAGACCTCGTGCTAGGTAGAGATGAGAATATGATGTGATAGAAACTAACACATAAATTAAAACCCTCTTTTTGATAGTTCTAGTATGTGAAAGTAGGGGTTGTTCTAGGCCAGGGATTAGGAAGGACGCTAATTAATACAAATCAAACTCTAAATCAATAAACTAGATTCAAAAACAGAAATTAAACTAACTCAAATAACTCAAAACAAGCACCAAGGAGTGTTTTAGACGAAAATCTAACTAAATTGACTCAAAACATGAACTAGAAACAAATTTGGACGAAAATTAAACTAAAAAGACTCAAATTACTAAACGGGGGGTTGTTTTGATGAATTTAACTAAAACTAATTGGATTGCATAAACAAACTAAAGGGTATGAAAGGCCAGCTAGAGGATTATTCTCCACATATGAACCATATGCATACATCAGCTAAGGAGAACAATCAGCCAAAACCCGAAATAAAACTTCTGATCTAAGACTGATTGCTTGGAACTTTGATTGTTTACCTTGTATGTTACCTCTTTCGGCAGATCTCATCGCTCAGAGGCTTAGGGGACTCCTACTATAGGGTTTGTATCGCACTTAACCAAGCCTGAAACTACAAGTAAACTTCAAATGAAAATGACACATTACCTTGTGCTTCAACATCAGCTAAAGATACCATTCTTGGATGAAGGAAAAGTACTTCCAGAGAAGAAGCCGCATCTACCTATGGGGCAGAGGCAAGTGAAAATTATATCATGCTTCGGTACTTAGAAGTTTCGTGATTCCTCAATGGCTTGGATCTTGCAAGTCCCCAACCGAGGAGTTTCCCTTACTCAGGAACTTAGGGGAATACTGTTTGTACCATACTTGACCAATCCCGAAACTACTAAACACTGGTCAACAATATACCGTCAAGGACCTACAAGAGTTTCCCTCTAACCAGGAAGCCAATCACAATGCGATGCGTGTCGATATCAGAGGCCAATCACAGCGCAACACGTGTCAAAGTCAGAGGACAATCACAGCACAACACGTGTCAATGTCAGAACAAAGCTAGAAACTCTCTTCTATAAAAAGGGATCATTCTCCCACAATAATCCCTCATGTCATTTATACTAAATCATTCATTAGATCCCACTAAAGGAGAGCTTGAACCTATATATTTGTGTAAACCCTTCACAATTAATGAGAACTCCTCTACTCCGTAGACGTAGCCATTATGGGTGAACCACGTACATCTTGTGTTTGCTTCCCTATCTCTGTCCATTTACCTACGTATCTACACTCGTGACCAGAACAATTTGGTGAAGGTCACAAACTTGACACTTTCTATTATACCAAAGTCCTCACTAATTTTGTGCATCAACAAGATTATGCAAAAGATCGTGTTATGTGTTCAAATGCTAGTAATGCCAATGACGATGAAGAAGAAGTTAGACTTGAAGATGTTAATGTCAATGTCAATCAAAATGAGGGCGAGGATGAAAGTGGAGATGATGTTGATACTTTTTTTCTCAATACCGAAAACCCAACAACAAAGGAATGAGAAAGTAATACATCCAACAGTGGTGGCAAGAAGGCAAGAGTTGGGATGAAATGGCTAAGCAATTTTCTGTTATGGCTAAAGCTATAGGTGATGTGGGACCTAAGCTTAATGGTCTAGTCCATGCACTTTGAACCGACATAAATTTGACTGAAATGCAACAAAAACTTTATGGTAGGTTCAGCAAAATGAAGTTTTTAGCTCCCAATGAATTGTTTCAAGTCACCAACTTCTTGGCTAAAGAACATGATCTTCTAAGGGTCTTTTTCAACATGTCCGACAAAAGGAAAAGTGTATAGGGCACTACTCTGTTGCAGACTTGGATGCATAATGGCATCTAAGTGATAGTCCAAAGATTTGTGAATGCTAGTTTTTTTTCTATGACCAGCTTGCTACCATGATGACATATTTGGAATGATTGTGAATGTTTTATAAATCTAATGACTTATTAGATGATACCATGATGATTAGGAATAACTACTTTTTGTTGAAATTATGATGTTTAGGCAGGTTAAGAATATTTTGTTGTTAATATGATGTTTAGGCAAGTTATGAATATGTTGTTGATAATATGATGTTTAGACATGGTATGACTATTTTTTTTAGGTTAGTTAAGATGGTTAGGCAAATGTACTTTGATGTAAAATATGACTTTAATGAAATTATTGGTAGTTTCCAACTCTTTAGTGTGTCTATGAAATAAAAGAGCAATTTTAGTTTTTTTTTTTTTTTTTTTTTACTATTATACATTATATCAAAATTATTAAAAAAGCATATAAAATAATTGATTTGAGACAAGAGCATTTTAGTAATCATACTAGTTTAAAGAATACAAGCTGGATGGATAAAGTGGAATAGTGCATTGGGTGTGTTGTGCGACTGTCGTATATTACTAAAGTTCAAGGGAAACTTTTATAGGACGACAATAAAGCTGACAATGTTTTATGGCACAGAATGATGGGCTGTGAAGTATCAACACACACACACACACACACACACACACACACACAAAATGAGTGCTGCAAAGATGATAATGCTTCGTTTGATGTGTGGAAAAAATGACAAGATTAGGAATGAGGATATTCGAGATAAATTAAGAGTAGTTGAAATTGAAAGTAAGATGAGAGAGAATAGATTAAGGTGGTTTGGATATGTGAAACGAAGACCTACATATGCTTCAGTTAGAAGATTTGAGTATGAGACAATTGTCCAGGACCAAAGGGGTAGAGGAAGACATAGGAAAACTTGGAAAAAGGCTCCAAGAAAACATTTGGACTACTTGGATCTAATAGAAAACACAGCACAAAACCGAGCGCAATGACATTCTAGAATTCATATAGTCGACCTCACTTAATGGGATAGGGCTTTGTTATTGTTGTATACTAGTTTATATTCCGATTATGTCGAATTAGTAAACAGCTTTATAGAATTAGTGCCATTTCTATTCAATTTTAGAACATTCAAGTAAACAATTTCAACAGAAATCCGATTCTGACTTCTCCTCATTTCAACTCATTCTCAATTCAGTTTCTCCTCAATCAAATTCCTCATGTGATTACAAGTATGAGCGGTAAGGTTCACCTTTCCTACAAAGGCGGATATAACAAGAATATCTCATATTTGATAACTAGAAAAAAAGAAAAAAAAAATTAAATCTCATTTTATTTAAGGGAAATTTTATGAAAAGGGTTTGGGCGAAAAACTATGCTATAATTTTATTTAATCAAAAAGAATTAAATATTAATGAAAACCCCTTAAATTTTAATAAAAATGACAGAAAATCTTAAATTTTAATATAAAAAAGAAAAGAAAAAATATAATGCGTGGGACCCGTGCGTCCATTACAAACACTTATTTATGAAACTGAACACTATTTATGAAACTGAATGATACTACACTATTTATTGGTCCTGTTTCATAATAGTGTCTAGTTCTTGGTCCACTTTCATAAATAGTGTCTAATTCTTGGTCATTTTCATAAATAGTTGCTAGTTATTGAGTCCAGTTTCATAAATAGTGTATAGTAATTGGTATAGTTTCATAAATAGTGTCTATTTCTATGTCTGGTTTCATAAATATTGATTACTTATTGATCCACCTTCATAAATAGTGCCTAGTTATTGGTCCACCTTCATAAGTTTTGAAACTTAGACATTTTTTGTCCTGTAAAAGTACCCATTGCGTCTAAAATGATGAACTCATAAGTGATTATTTAGATCAAAACCTTGAGAAGATTATGTTCACATTAATTATATTTAAAATGTTGTTTTCAATTACCAAATTAAAAGGCAAGCTCTGTGAGCTTAAAGTTTTATCGCTGCCTTTCAATGAACTTGGTGGCGAAATTCCGAAGGAAATTTGGGGGTTGGAGAAGCTTGAAGTGCTTGATCTTGAGGGGAATTTGTGGAACGGAAATTTGCCAACCCGGTTTTCGGGCTTGAGGACGTTGAGAGTTTTGAATCGTGGGTTTAATAGAATTGGTGGGGACATTCTTTTTTAGCTTTCCAAATGTGTGGATTTGGAGGTGGCGAACTTGGTAGGTAATGAAGTGAGTGGAACTGTTCCTGGGTTTGTTGGTAGTTTTGCAAAGTTGCAGGGGCTTTAGTTGGCTCAAAATAGGTAAAATGGTGAGTTTTTTCTTCTTCTTTTTTTTTTCTTTTTTTTTTTTTAATTTTTATCATTAAATAAAATTAGTAAATAATTTTTAATTAAAATATAAAAATTTGAAGTTTTTTTTTTATTATTTAATCGCCCTCGCAAACACGTGGGGACAGTTTATTTAATTAATTGCAACAATCCCGTTACTTCGGAGAGCACTATCGGTTACGTCGATGTCTCCTTCTTCTTCCTCTTCTTCTTCTTTCTTCAGTTGAGAGGATCAGTTTGTTTCAGACTTGATCGAGCTCCGAAACCCCTACTCAGATCTGGCTCCCCACCGCTCACCGGAATTCACTCGAGCTCCGCGTCTCTTCGGTTTTTGCCGCACAAGAAAAATATGCATAGCCGGCCGTCTCACAGCCGGCTATCTGGCTCGGCTTTTCACTCTCGGATTTCAGCTCTCTTGCTCACCATGGTCTCCACCATGGCAGCCATCTACGTCGCCGGCCGGTGAGTTTCTCAAATTTCCAATTTTGTTATTTGAATTTCGAGCTGTTCATGGAAAAGTTTTTATCTTTTTGAATATGATGAATGTTTGATGAGTTGTGGTGTGTTGATAGACTGTGGCAGGATGCTGCCGATAGGATTTATTTGATTCGGGAGATTGATAGAAGAAATGGTCGGGTAATTTTTTACCTTTTCGTTTTTTTTTTATTCTTAAATTTTGTTTTTGTCTAAGTTTTACCTTCCAATTTCAGTTCAAATGCGTAACTCAACAGTAATGTGCATTAACTTCTCTATACAAATATCGAAGAGATTACGAATAAGGCAGATAATCGTCAACTTTTTACTTTCAGGGTCAATCTGCTGTATCCGTAGACGATACACTTAAAATTATAGCTTGCAGGTAATTGATATTCTTTAAAAGGTGTCATTTTCGAATTTTATGTTATTGTCTTTGCTGTTATGAATGATGGTTGTTTTCTAGGGAGCAACAGAAGCAGTTGTCCGCCCTTGAGATGCAACTGACTGCGGCAAGACAGGAAGGTTTCGTCTCAAAGAGCTTGTCAAAAAATGAGGGGGCTCAATCTAAGAAGAAGCTTTTAGCTGTTATAGGAATTATTACAACATTTTACCGCAAGAAAAATAGGGAGGCAATTCGTAAGGCGTGGATGCCTAGAGGTACTTTGTGCAAATTTCGTCGTTCTTTTCTTTTATCCTCGATGCAATTTTATGCAAATAAATGATCCATGTTAGTGGTACAGTCTTATGCACTCCTACCAATTTTCTAGTCATAAATGTTTTGGTTTGCGATGGTGGACCAAATTCTTCTAGCAGTTATAGCAATTTTATGTATATATGTGCAGGTGAAGCTCTAAAAAGATTGGCAGATGAAAAGGGCATCATTGTGCGATTTGTGATTGGAAGAAGGTCTGTATATCAATGACTTAGAATGATGACAAGGAATTGTCTACAGTTCTGTTCAGTTAAGTATGTGTATCTTGCAGCCCAAATCGTGGAGACAGTTTGGACAAGCAAATAGACGAAGAAAATGAGCGGACCAACGACTTCCTTATTCTTGTATGTTAACCATTTGAACAAATCTGTTTTACATATATTTGGTGGGATCTTTTAGTTGGGTGAAATTTCGTATTGTCAAGAACTTTTTTTCATTACTAGTACGCACATGTGATTCTATTTGGATTCCTTAAGAAGTCCTGTGAAAAATTCAAGGTGCTGTTCGAGGCTTTGAGCTAGTTGGTATGTAGAATAGAGACTAAGTGATGGCTAGTTTGTAGGTATGAAGTAGCCAATGTAACGTTGAATTTAGTTTGAGGAAAGCTCCCTGAGCATTCCGTATTTTTATTCCTTTTATCATGCTCATGGACCTTAACAAAAATTTGTGGACATCCCTCATGGTTGATTCATGTCATCATATGTGGGATAGCTGAAATTGCTACAGGCAGATACGTTTATGACACATTGTTTAAATTGTTCTTTTACTTTACAGGATGATCAAGTGGAGGCATCTGAGCAGCGGCCGAAAAAGACAAAATCATTCTATATTCATGCAGTAGAGAACTGGGATGCTGAGTTTTATGTTAAGGTCAATGATGATGTTTATGTTAATATTGGTAGGTAGTTGTAATATAATTCTTTCTAGTAAACAAGAAGATAGTTAATCCTCGTGATACTTTCTGTTATACCTGCGTTAAATTAAATTCTGGTAATTAATTTGGATAAAAATAGTTACTAGTTAAAAACCTGTGCTTATGATTGAAGAAAACCAAAGAAACTGCCAGATGAGAGCATAGGTATGTGGTTATTTAGTCATGATCTCAAGTGAAGTGTTCATTTGTATATCGGAAATCAAAGCTGCATCACATATAATTACAATTTAGGAATTTGATTCTTTTTGCCATTGTTTTACCAATAGAACCTTTGTGAAAAATGCTGAAATTGTTTGTCTAACTTCAGAGTAGCTTAGATTTGGACACCACAGGGTATAATTGAAAAATAAGGATAGTAATGGTTGGCTGTTAACCGTGTCAGAAAAGTTTATGCCCCTAAACAAATTATTTGAAGTGCATGCTAATATTTGGCGTTTATTATGACTCAGATGTCCTGGGAGCAACTCTAACTACTTATTTAGATAAGCCTCGTGTCTATATTGGGTGCATGAAATCAGGCGAAGTCTTCTCTGAACCGTGAGTGCAGAAAACATGCTTTATATGATGGAAACTTTGAAACTATGAGTTATTTTAGATTAGATATAACTATTTTATTGGTTTGTGTTGTCTCAATTACACAGAACACGCAAGTGGTTTGAGCCAGACTGGTGGAAATTTGGCGATGCAAAATCGTAAGCACGATTTTTTTTTTCTTTTCTTCTACCTTTAAGATAGATTTCTTAATTCATGTTGTTGCTCTCTCTCTCTCTCTCTCTCTCTCTCTCTCTCTCTCTCCATGGTGGAAATTTAGGCAAATTTATGGCGGGAGGCTGATCATTAGTTCTTTATATGGAAAAAGTATCTTTGAAAATGTTCATTTAGTGAGATAAGTAAATGGCTCTTTTCGACTGAAGTGACCTGTTAGAGCAGCCCAACGAAATGTTATCCTAAAAAAACAAACATGTGATAAACGCTGATAACTGATTTTTTCTATAGTGCCTTGGTAATTTCTCCATATAGACTGTTCTACGTGATACTGGATTGCCTAATGATGCTGGGAGGGTGGTCATTATTTCTTTGTAGGGAACAACGTGTGTCTGAAAATGTTTGTTAGTTAGGTAAGTAGAAGGAAAAGGTGTAAAGTTGATTATTTAGTTTTCTCTGTATGTCCTTTATATAAAGGATTCTCATCTGAACGATCATGGTAGGCGTTAGGCTGTTAGTCTTCAAGAATTGAAGCAATTCATAATAGCATTTGAATTTGCTGCTTAAATTCCCGGGTTCTACCATGTAATATTTCACTTGGCTTCTGATGCAGGTACTTTAGACATGCTTCTGGTGAATTGTACGCCATTTCTAGAGCCTTGGCTCAATTTATATCAATAAACAGGTACTTCCGCCGCCTCTTTATCTTTCCTTCTTTCATGTTTCAATAGTATCGTGTAGCATGCTGACAACTTTGGGAGGATTTAATTTATAGCTTTCTGTCGGTTTGCAGGTCTATTCTTCGTGCTTATGCTCATGATGATGTTAGTGCTGGGTCATGGTTTATTGGGCTTGATGTGAAGCACATTGATGAACGGAAATTTTGCTGCTCCTCTTGGATGCCAGGTCTGTTGATCTTTTCCGTCGAGTACATATACAAATCACTATGAACATAATGAAACTTTTCCCAATAATATCTGGATTTCTCTTGAAAAGACTGCTGAAGTATAACTACTATCTTAATATCAAGGCAAGAAATCATCTTGCTGCGGTTTACTCGCTTCTCAACCATTTTTTCTTCGAAAATGCTTGTTGAAAGGGGAAACAAAATTTTTAACAATTAGAAAAACACAACCAAGGACAAATAGAGGAAGAGTGACAGGGTCCTTAGATGCTGAAAGCCATTCGATATGATTCTCCGTCTTCACTGCGGTAATTTTCACAGAAGGATATATTTGAATATGATGATTCTCGTTACTAATCCATGTGCATCTTTCATTTCAGGAGGAATGTGTACTGCCGTGTAATCTAAAGTACCGCACACCTATTGATACAACCAACACATTATGAAAGGGAAGTCCTTTCATTTACAGCATTGCCTTCAATGCCTTCTTCGACCAGATTATTCAAGCAGTACACAATCATTTGTTCTGCCCAAATTGATTCGAGCAGCCTTGAGTTGTATATGCTGCTGGTCGAGGTTCTCTGGGAAGCTCCGGATCCTGTTAGTTTTTGCCCTCGCAGTTACCGAAAGTCCGGTGTCACTCTAAGTAGTCTTTTTCGTCATACCTGTATCAGTACCGTACGAGTTCATCCTTGAATTTCTCCAATCTTATTTCTGTACCTAGGAACCATTAATAGAGATACAATTTTCTTTTGGTTGTTGATTATATACAAATTGGAACTCATGGTGTAGCATTGGTTCCATACTTTTACAGTGATTATTTTTCAATTACTGCCAGTTAGGGTTTGATGTCATAACATGACTTAAACCTAAGACGAAATTAACTGGTTAAGGTTGGACATTACTTCGTAAGAACCTGCAAATTGATCGATTATAATTTCTCGACATAATATTTGCTTTAACACGTTATTCTAGTCACCTTATCTATCAACCTTATTTATTTTTTTATTGAAAACTTACGAGCCTTTGACTTATTAAATCTCAAGTTGTAGGTAATCTTTTTTACCATTTAAAAAAAGAATTTGACAAAAAAAAAATCAATTAAAATCTTAGAACAAAAATTAATCAAAAAATGGTGCAATCAAAAGGACTATGATTTATGGCGGGGCCCACAGACTAATGCAGCATTGAACAGCAAAAGCCATCCTTGCCGGCTTCTATATGGGGATCTAAGAACGGAAGAACCTCTAATCACATTCGTTGTGATTGAAGGATCTTGATCCTTGCAAAGAAGATCCGACGAGCATCATCTCTCCAGCAAAAGTGGCATGAAGTTTGACGTAGACGTTGCTCTGCCAAACAGTTCTTAACACGTGTACGGCTCAGAACAATAGTGCCACATCGATCATCTGGGCCAATCCTATTAACCCAGTTCACGACCAGACCGGCCGGTATTCGCCACCATAGAAGGCAAAAATTCCCCATCTAAAATTTCCAGCGAGGAAAGTAAAACGCGGGAAAATTGAGGAGATAGGTTTCGGGTTTTTTGGGGCTCCTTCAACATTACTACTTTGATTTCAGTTCCCCCTTCTGTAGATTTCGGAAGATTCAGGTATATTGCAATTTGCTCTTATGTTTTTTTTTTTTTTTTTTTTGTTGGGGGGGGGGGGGCGGCGGGGGGGCCGGTGGCGCCGCTGTGTGTGTGTGTGTTGAAGCTTTCTGGATCCTTGAATTTTACAGATGCAGGTAAGGGGAAAATTTAAAATTTCAAAATTAATTGGAGAAGATGACAATTTTTAATAGTTGTAATTAACAAAGGGGGAATTATTTGGTGTTTATCATTTAGAAATTGTGTGACAATAGGAACGGTAAAAGTAGAAACTAATGGGCATATGGATGATGAATTACTGAGATAGAAAGGTATAATTTTGTGTGTGTTGCATGTGCTGATTGAAATGCTGATGATGAAGCTTCTTTTTTTTGGGTGAAAATTATAAAGCTTCCTTTATTTGGTGAAAATGATAATGCTTTTTTTTTTTTTTTTTTTTTTTTTTTTTTTTTGGCGTTAGATTTTGAAATTTTTCGATCAGTAATTCAAAATCTGATTGAGTTCGGCTGAAGTGTGCGAAATTTTTGAATTGTTGATTAGTAATTCGAAATCTGGATTTTTCCTTGTCCCAGTTGTAAAAGAAAGAAAAAGGATGGTCATTAAATTTAATCTAACAATATATTTTGTTTTGTTGTACATTCTTAATGTGAGATAGTCGCCGGTGTTTTGATTCTGAATATGCAGCCGTGAATAGTAACCTGACGGTTAGCTACCTGTGACAGCTTCTTCAAGCACAGTGAAGGCCTTCTAAAACATTGGACAACATGGACCAAGATGAAACAAAGAAGTTAATGGGATCGGATGGAACTGCAGTGCCAGTTGGATATGACAATCCCAAGGAGGGTGATAACGGGAACCTAGTCCTTGAGGCATCAAAGAGGTAATTTCTTTCCTTATTCTTTTATCTTTCACATTATGAACCAGGCAGCAGCGTCGAGTTATTAACTCTCTGATGTTGTCACTGGCTTTAACCAAACTAAATTTGATCTTATGACTACGTGCAGTTTGGAACAAAATATTGATGGTTTGACTGATGGAAATGATGGTGACACTAACGTAAGTGTTTTTTTTTTTTTTTTGTTATGTCTGCCCGTATCTGAGATGGGTTTCCTCTTTTTATTTGATGATTAGATGATATTTATGCATGAAGATAAATTTTTAAAGTAATCTTGGATTTCATCTATCAGGCAAACCACCTCACTCAGAGGAAAAATGAGTCCGACAGCATGCAATCTGCTGGTAAGAGTGAGCACTTCTCTTTATTGTTTACTTGCATAGTAATTCGAGACTTTTTTCAATCAGGATTTCTGAGTTTAATTTTGTGGGAGGAACCTTTTGGTGGCCTGTTTTTGCTGTCCATCCCTCTTCTGTTGATTTTGTATAGAAAAAAGGGATGGTTTAATATGGCCTGGATTTACGTTAATGAAGGAGAAATGCTGTGATGGTCCTAAATTTGGGCATGCTACCTTAACCAGTTGCTTCATACTATTACTGACCGATTTCTTTTCCTAACTATCTGAACGACAGAAAATGATGTGAAAGTCCATGCTCAGGTCAGTCCGACAACTGAAGAGGAAGCGAAAGAGATTTCTACAAATGTTTCTGGTTATGCGCCTCCTGCTGCTGATTTTGTGGGAGTATCTCTTGGTTCACCATATGAGAAAATAGGAGTTAGCACAGCCTTTGTCGCTCCATCTGCTGTTGCTCAGTTGCCTTTTGGTACTTCAGTTCTGGTATGGAAATGTTTACCTTATTGATTTTGGTACTAATTATTTGCTTGCAAGCTTATGCCTTTCCATTTCAGTTTGAATTGAAGTTAGATAACTGTTAAAAGAATGCGGACTTTGATACTTCTCTGTTTCTTTGTTTTGAACAACACTCAGTTACTGGTTTGATTGAAATCATGGGATTGATGAAAGATTACGGATTTGGATTTTCCTCAAATTTTGTGAGCCAGAGTTTGCTGTGAAACAAAGCCATCTTAAGACTCTGCAGGGTGGTTATTTACTGAAACGTTGTTCTATTCATGACTTTTGAGGAATATTGAGTTCAGACTCATCTTGGTTGAAACAAATTCTAAGATAACTCTTAGATTTAGTCTGCTATTCACACTATTGATTCGCATGTTGGTTTCCTCAGGATGAAAGGCAGATGAAACGAGAGAAAAGGAAACAAGCTAACAGAGAATCTGCAAGGAGATCTAGGTTAAGGAAGCAGGCTGAATATGAGGAACTGGTGAAGACATGTGAATCCTTAAACGAGGAGAAAATTGCTCTTCAATCCAAAATGGAAGAATTGAAAGGGGATTCAGAGACACTGAGGCTTGAAAATGCCGCATTAAGGGTACTACTCAATGTTCTCATAGAATTTCTTGAGCTGTGGGCCTGTTCTCGGTTATTTTTTACGTGTACCAAGTTGTCACTTTCTTTTTTCTTTTTGGTCTTTTTTAATAACCGGATTCTCAAAGATCAACCATACTAATAGTACATCGAAGATATAAGTTTCTTGGTTGTTTTCCTGCAAAAGTTTGGAGGTTGACTCATGAGTCAGTAGCATGTCCGAGCCCAAGGCTGGATTCATAGTGCTGGGCTTTGAGTTAGTTGGAGATTTTGCATATTCATATGCACCACAAATAGTTACCCAACTAGTGGAACTCTAAGCATATTTTACCCAAAAAAACGATAGGCACTTGAACGACTATGTCCGTATTGTTTTGATTTCTTATATCCACCATATACTTAGAGTAAACAAGCCATCTCCACATTGAATTATCATGCGTTGTTGCTTTTGGTTGCCAAAAATTGACCAAGTGTAGGAATTTACCAATTGAGTGAGGGGTGTGGTGTCGGAATGGGATTTGATCAGATATGTTGTAGCATGTGCTACTGAGTTAAGTTGAACCTGAAAAATTGAGGAAAACTGATTTGGTCATCCTAGTTTGTTTCAACCTAAGATATGTTTACATTTACTTGCAGCTCAATCTCACATGAGTTTTGTCTTGTAGGAGAAGCTGAAAAATGCTCAGGCGGTGACGCAAGGAGGGATTGGTTCAGTTAAGATTGAAGTAGACTTGGACCTGCCAAATGATGCCAAAAATATACTGAGCATTTTGGGTTCTGTAAGCAGGAATGATGAGCTGGATCGCGAGAAACATGAAAGTTCCATGTCTGAAACCAAGTTCCATCAGCTGATGGAATCAAACGCTAGGACTGATGCTGTTGCTGCTAGATGATAAGGAAGCTGGTGTTGTCTGCAGCCTCACATCACACTCGGTGGACTGATAGACCTCATTAACTTAACCTTCGGTTTACAACCAGCAGGTGGAATACAGGAAATTCCGAGTGGAAGAAGGTCAGAAAAAGAACTTGCAAATTTATGGTTCCTTTAGCATTCAACTCTCCTTTGTGATATGAAGTATTAGATTCGAGATTGCCGTGGCGATTTTGGGAGTAATTTAGGGTAGGCTAAAAGTGTGTTTCCATATGAACATGAACATTCCAAAGGATAGGTCTCTGAAAGTGACTTGTAATTGTTACCGCAGAATTCTTGTTAGATTGACAGAATGTTCTCTTTAAATTTGGTTTATTACTTTGATCCTTCTACTAGAAATTCGACCATGTCCATGAGATTCAAATTGTTTCGACTTTCGAGTGAAAATGTTAATCTAGGGATTGATTATGGGCGTAAAAAAATTTAAAAAAAAAAGTCATTATGAACTACTCGCTCTTATTTGTCACTAGGGAGGAGTGCATTATGATTATTTTTGGAATGTTAATAACAGTTCTCTTAATCGACTTATACCTTGTATAGTAATTCACAAGGAGGCTTTTTCAATTGTTTAAAGCTTTATCACATGATTACATTATATAGCGGTATCCATTATCCGCACTTTATCAGAGGAAATTCTGAGTTCAAATATCATGTAAAGTGTCATTTTAAGTTCTAAAGTTAAACGCGCCACTTAGTACTACGGTCTAGTAGTAGTAAGTGAGAGGTCTTAGGTTCGATTATTGCCAAAAGCGAATTTGAACCATATTATTGCTAGTCTATTGTGAGATTCAGTCACCCCACTCTCCTTAGTGTAGATAATATCGTTTATTTAAAAAGTTCTAAGTTAAATGCTGCAAATACAATCCTTTTGTTTGTTCAAAGATAAGATTATAATTGGTTGTTGAAAAAGTGCAAATCAAAAGGGGTTTTCAAAGGGAATTTTCATAATTTTTAGTGTTGGGACATTGCACCTAGAGCGTATCCATGATGTTGAATTTCAACCCCAAATCACCGTCCTTCCTTCCCAGTGCCCTTCAATTCAAAGCTCAATAGTGAATCAAAAGGAAAATTATGGGTCATTTGGTAAAGAGATTGGACTACGTCCACTTCTGCAACTTTCTATGGATTTATGAATTCGACCTGTTTTTGGGCCTCCCCTTTGTGGGGTTCAGTTTGAAGTTTCTATCGAGTATGTTTCCTGTCATGATCCCTCATGAAAGAGTCAAACTTGCACAACATTTGATGTACATATGGTTATGTGCTTAGGCGATGTGTTTCCAGACACAAATTTATATAGGCCTAATTGGATTAATGATCCATGTGATAATAGGGCAGTCGGAAAATTACTATTGTGGTAGAAGAAAGAGTAGAATTTAATAACCTCTATGGTGAAATATGTTAGAATTTAGTACGTGATGTGCACATATGAGACTAAATTTTTCTTTCTATTTGTTTTTAACCATTATTCAGACCAAAAAAAAAAAAGTAAAAGATAAAATAAAGCCCCTTCATCATTCCCTCTCAATTTGAAACAAAGAAACACGATGTGGGCGTTCATCGTTTGAAATCCAATTGGAAACTGAAATCGTCGATTAAAATCAAAGAAATTTGGTTCGTGTTTCAATAGCCACACCCACATCAATGATCAGGAGAAGAGTGGAAGGGGACGTCGCCCCATAATTCTAAGATATTGATGCAAATCTTGAGATCTTTAGGGCCTGTATTAATTGTTTGTTATGTCAAAATGTAAGATAAACAAGATTAGATATGATGAGTTATAAATCCACAAAAATGCAATTTATGTAATCTATCATTATACACGGATTACAAATCATGTCTTACATGTCTCTGACAAACTAATCCTATCCATCATACTTAATTCCATCCAAGCCACGAAATGGGCCCTTAATTAGGTAATGTTTTCTATGACTTTTACAGGTATGGTCTTAAAAAAAATATAATAATAATAATTTCCTTTTCTCCAATTGGTTTTCTCCTCAATTGGTTCTGCTTGAAAAGAACCCCTTCCACGGCAGGGAAGGCGTGTAAAAACCAAAATTTAATTAAAATTTTACAAACTCATTAAATCAACATCAATTAAAAATCAAAACAAAAAATTTCATCAGGCAAAACCCCTTTCAACACTTCAGGGAGCTTAGACAATTTCAAAAAACCCTTTTACATTTCTCCCTCAAACCCACTTCGATTTTTCGCGGAGAATCCTGACACCCATCTTATCGCGGCTTTTTGGTTGGTTCCAGAAGACAATTTGGGTTTGAATTCCGAGAGAAACTGAATGGATTTTTTTTCCTTCTTCGTGTTGGCCGTTGGGTATAAAGACTGGAATTAGAATGATTTTGAAGGATTAAAAATAAATTTAACCTCACATGTGAATCTCACGTGCTAATAATTAATGAAAAGTTAACAAAAATTTAATTTTGAGCCTAAAACCTAACACAATTCACCATAGGAGTTTAAATTCTAATATTTTTTTACCAAATAAATTATCTTCCGCCTATTCTATCACCACATAAACTGTTAATTCAATTAAGCTATTTATATAGTATCATTTATTAGTACTAAATCACAAAATATGTGTTTCAAGCACAAATATATATACGAGCCGTGTCGTGACAGAATATCTCCTCAAATATATTCGTAATAAGTCCGTACTACTTATCCATCAAAATTATTCTATATCATATTTTGGTTTGTGTTGTAACTTTACACAATAAACTGTTTGAATTTGCATTGTTGGCAAGATGAGACTAATCCATCTCAAGGATAACATTCTTTATTCACTTTTCAAGATTTGAAGAAAAAAGTTGCTTCAATCATATCTTTTCATCATCAATTTTCCTAGGCAACGTCCAGCGGACAACCTGCCTGGTTCACCTCAAATTACGCTGAGTTTATTGCATAAATTATTAAATTTTGGCAATAAAATATAAAGCATGTATTCCATTAAAATTTGACATAATGCATCATATCATCAGATTAATGCATATGTTATCTTTTAACTAAATGTTTCGTCATTTAATATTATCACATAAAATGAATAGTTGCATACAAGTTTTTCTCGACAATCAGGCAATCGACAAAGTCAAAAACTTCATACCTCCCACTTTGTTCTCTATTTTACTTTTAAAAATGGGTTAGTTAATTCAGTTAAAATGGTTGGCATGTTCATACTTGTCCATATCACGTGTAGAAACCAGCAAAGACTAAATCATGGTTGGCTGGTTGCCAAATTTCCCATGTCGTACACGCACATGTAAATACACATGAACACCAATATTTTAGAAAAGTAAGTAAAATATAATTGTCAATTTTTAAAAGTCTGCATGCAAGCGGTACTAATTTATTCTTATATAAATTCATATTTCCGTCCATATAAAGGTGTTTTGACCTCATTTCTTCTTATGTCATAGCTTCCAGTTTTTCTTCCTACTTGTCATACAATTGTTCCTATCATGAATGCTTTTTGTTTTTGGTTTGAAACCGGGATTGTGCGGGAATTTTAAGACAGTTTGGTCTCATTTTTTGGGTAATTAGTTATCCAGCACAAAATTTGGACCTGTTCAAAAAGTGAGAGTTGGGTGGTAGCTGGGAATTTGGTTTGAGTTCACAGGAAAATATAGGTTTTGTCACAAGAAAGGTTCATGTGAAAGTTGAGTTTCTCAACTGCTTGATTGAATGAGCAGCTGACTATTTCTTTTCCTACAGATTTGAAGCTGTTTTCTAGAGAGAGAGAGAGAGAGAGAGAGAGAGAGAGTCATCTGTGGTCTTGTTTATTCAATTGGTGTTCTTGCTGTGTTCTTGAAATGAATGATTCTGGATCAGCAGTTGAAGTTTCGAAAGACAAGAATGGAATCGATCAAGTTCATCTTCAGAACCCGCGAGGAGCCTCAGTTCAGGTTAGATTTCTTTTACCAATATCGATATTGTCCTCAACTTAACCATTGGTTTAGTCTATTAGTAGCAGAACCATTATATATATATGTGTGTGTATATATAAAACTTCATTTTAATCCTTGGCAAAAATGACTTTTAGATTAAAACCATGCGTAAGATCAAAATCTAATTTTAGTCCTTTGATACATTAATAACCTCATTGATTAATTATATTTTTATTTTTTAATTATTTCTCTTTTTCTTTCAAAATTTTAATGTATTAATTTTATTTCATTATAATTTTCATTTTCATTTCATTTATCGTAATACATTTTGTTGTAAACATTTAGATAAACAAATTTTTGTTATACAATATATTTTGATATACATTGTCTTCTTCATTTAGGTACATTAAATTCATTATAATACATTTCGGTGCATACATTTAGTTACACACATTTTGGTACCTACATTTCGATACAAACATTTAGGTACATTAATTCAATATAATACATTTCGGTACTAACATTTCGGTGCATACATATGGTAAAAAAATTAAAAATTAAAATTTGTATGTTAATAAATTTAAATATTTAATGGGAGACATTAAATAAAATGCACATTAATTATTTTGAATCAAGGACACATCAAGGGATTATAATCAATATGTAATCTAACACCAATTTTATTTTAAATATCAATCTTCTTGAAGGATTAAAGTTAAAAAAACCCATATATATAAATAAAATAAGTTGTATTTTATTTAGTCAAGTTTCCGACGTAGGACTTGGTATACTTCAACAGGGCTAAAATTGCTGATTTATAGTTTACATGCATTCTGATGTTGTTGTGCAAACACAATCCAGGTGAGCTTGCACGGAGGCCAGGTTCTGTCATGGAAAACCGAACGCAACGAAGAATTGTTATTCATTAGTAGCAAGGTGAAGAAGTTATCTATGCTTATTCATTTGTTATTCATGAACAATCGGGAAAATGTACACTGATTTCCTATGTTAGCTAATATATTTTCTGTTTCGTCTATGAAGGCGATTTTTAAGCCGCCAAAAGCAGTCCGAGGAGGAATTCCAATCTGTTTTCCGCAGGTTGGGACCGGATCGTTGGACCATAACGGGTTTGCCAGGAATAGGATTTGGGCCATTGACAATGATCCTCCACCTCTACGTCCGAATGATTCGAATGGAAAAGCCTACGTCGACTTGCTGCTCAAACCATCCGACGATGATATGAAGATTTGGCCACATAGGTAGCACATATAGCAGCATGAATTCTGAAAAAGTAGCATACTAATGCTTTGTGTACAAATATTAGTTTCTAACATGATGATTTGCAACATGTTTTCCAGGTTCGAGTTTCGCCTTAGGGTGTCACTGGCAACAGAAGGGCATCTAACGCTTATATCGCGCATCAGGAACATCAACTGCAAGCCTTTCAGCTTTGCATTTGCTTATCATACGTACTTCTCCATTTCGGATATCAGGTACACAATGTTTAATTAAGCATAATCTAACTAAAGACTAATTGAATTTCCGAGATTTAAATGAATATAATCTGGACTGACAGTGAAGTGAGGATTGAGGGATTGGAGACTCTAGACTATCTAGACAACCTGTGTCAAAAGGAGCGGTTTACAGAACAAGGCGATGCTTTAACATTCGAATCTGAGGTAATTGTGTTTTCCCAAAACCTTCTCAACTTGTCAGTGGATCCAAAACGCTCTTTCTAATGAAGTGAAGCTCATTTTTTGTGGCAGGTAGACCGCGCTTATCTCAAGTCTTCGGATGTGATAGCAGTTTTCGATCATGAAAAGAAGAAGACATTCACCGTGCGAAAGGAGGGACTTCCAGATGTTGGTGAGAATCATGTTCTATTTGGATTAGTGTAAACTTTGACATTTTACTTGGTCACAAATTAAAATCTTGTGTCCTTGAACTTTACATGTGCTAGTTGTATGGAATCCATGGGAGAAGAAGTCCAAAGCGATGGCGGATCTTGGAGACGAAGAATACAAACAGATGTTGTGTGTTAACGGAGCATCAATCGAGAAGCCGATCACCTTGAAGCCTGGTGAGGAATGGACCGGTCGATTGGAGCTCTCCCTTGTCCCTTCCAGTTAAATCAAGAGACTAGCAGTGACTTGCAGGCGAAGAAATAAACCCAGTACCAATATTAATTAGGGTCGAAAAATTCGACAATGTTTGCAATAAACACTCATTAAGAACATGATCATTAGCTTTAATTTTGGTTTATGTTTCTTAATCGATTTCGTTCGACGGAGGCGGAGATTTCTTTTTGCTTCACCCCATTGTAGTTGTAACCTTAAGAATGTATATGGTTCATCTCAATTTAGTCGTGAAAATTTGTAATTTATACACTGCATGTTACAATTTGTAGAGGGAAAAATAAGAGAGAGTTAATCATGTTTTTTGGTGGAATATAATCTTTAAGTTTTTTAATTATTTTTTATTATAACAGGAACACGAGTGGTACACCACGTGTTTTTATATAAGTGGTGAGAAATTTTATTTTTTGAGTTATTAACTTTTTCATACATATATTCCATTATTTATATAATAACTTGTGGTGATCATATTGAAAAATTTATCGGTGCAAGATCACAATGAAGAAAAAAAAATGCAACAAGTATGAAAAAAAAGCCGCATTTATATCAGAGCCTAGTTTCGATCTAGGGACCTGTGGGTTATGGGCCCACCACGCTTCCGCTGCGCCACTCTGATTTGTTGTTAATATGTTAATATTAAATATATAAGAACTACACATAGAAGCGTATATAATTTCACTCATCAATCATCACTGTGACGCCTTATGGCCCACATATTCTAAAGTAATACATTACTAAATCCTTAAACCAAAATTCCGATCTTTGTTTCTATTTGTTTTACATTTTGCTCAATTTCATTAGAAGTTCATAAGCTATAGAGATTTGGTTTGAACTCAATGTCTACGAGAGTTGAATTTAATACATGATCTCACTTACAAATAAAAAAACCATTAAGTGACATTAACCAAGCTTAATTTTGAAATTAAAAACAAAATTTTTTTTCTTTTCTTGCTGAATTTATTAGTTATACTATGAACACGTTTATATAATTTGAAATATAAAAAAAAAATATTATGAAGACGTTTTTCACCAGGAGGGATTAAATGATTTTTTATTTTATTTTATTTATTTTTGTGTGAATAAACTTTCAAAAGTCATGATGAATCCGTCCACCGTTGTTGAGCATGACAGACCAAAGACAATTGCAGCTTTGGTCTAAATAAAGCAGCTGTGCATGCTTGCTGACACCGCAGCCCACATTCTTCGATCCAGGGACTCGTGTGATGGCCCACCACACTTTCACACGAGAATAGCCATTCACATTAGTAAGGTCGTATGCACACGAGTTTGAATTTTTTTTATTTTTAATATTGTACAAACGAGTTTGAATTTGGTTTTTTCTTAGTTTAAAGTAGAGTATTCTTGTATGAAATTTTTTTATTTTTTTTTTGTTAGAAAGTTGAGAACATTCATAAAAGAAAGTTCATCCTGACAGATTATATCGTACATAGCTTTAAAATGATCGCTATATTGAAAGAAGATGACACTTATGCAAATAAAGCATAAGTAAAAGTTCTTCCTTGCAGCGTGATGCGAAATATATTAAGCACACAAATTAAACCCTCTTCTGACAATTGTAGCAAAGTATGTAAGTAGGGATCGTTCAAAACCGGGGATTAGGAGGGATTGCTAAACTCTTGAAAACTGACCTAAGAACTCCAAAACAAAGTTAAAAACACTAATTTGGACTCAAAGAATGAAAAACGAAAGTTAAAACACTAAAACAAAACAAAAACTCAAAACAGCAACTAGAAGACTCAAAACTGCCTAAAAACCACTTTCTGGGCAGTTTTGAGCACCTACACTAATTTGGACGAAATTGGTTGAAAACTTGACTGAAAACACTTAAAAACATGAACCAAAACAATTTCTAACTAAATTGAGACTTCAAAGTAAAGGGGGATTTGATTTGGACGAAATTAAAGTTGAGAAAACAGATTGCAAAGTAAAACTGATTTTGAAACGTTTTTGGGGTTTTTAATGGATGATGGACTAGTTAGGGGTTTTTTTCTCCACACATGACAAGTATGCAAATGACTCGATTTCCAGTTATTCCTTCATAGAATTATGAATGACAATGCCCCAAATTAACCGTGACATAACTAGTTAATTCTCAAGTTTTCCTTGTGTTATTGAATTGGATGACATCATACGACAACCCAAAGCATTCTTCAAAAGTTCCTTACATGACATCATAATAAAGATACAATCAAAGATCATTACGTTCAATGAAAACTATAAGCATTGACAAAGCACTTGTGACTATGACATCATGACACTTATGCTAGGAATTGAACTTAACGCGATTGTGACTAGCAATCTTCACTACTTGTGAATATAAGTGTGTGACAATTATGTGAAACAAACTTATATTCTAGCATCATATTCATGCAAGCCAATTAAGTGTCGACCCCTAATTAACAAACACAAATACGTTATTACTCGCACAGTTAAGCCAATTGCATTCACGATTCAAGAACTCATAACTGGAATTTATCAAATCAACTTGCACACATAGTTATGGCTTCGAAATCACCCCTAACCAATAGGGGTTTAGCCACTCATGTTCATAGCAAAATGAAAGGAAAATAAATTAAACATTGAAATCATAAAACGAATTACACCTAGAATGCAGCAACGACGAAGCTTGAGCATCCAAGAGTCCTTCCTTCTTTCTCCTTGCTACGGCACAAAGGTGGATGGGGTGGTTGGGATGTGTTTTAGGATCAGGGATTATGGAATTGGATGGAGGATAGGCACAGCAAGGTGTAGTGTTTGGCTGGAATTGTGTTTCTAGGATTTTAGGATATATAGAATGGTGTGGCTAGATGAATGGACGAAAATTGGGTGAATGAATGATCCCCTTAGTGCCTTGCTGCAAAGCCTTATTTATAGGGCTAGGAAAGGTTTAGAACTTAGTTGAAACCAAAAGGTTTTGTACCAGAAATTCTATACATGAAACACTTAAAGGATATATGTGTGTAGCTTGGACAAGGTAGGACGGCTTGGACAAGGTAGGAGACAAGATAGGACGGCTAGGAGATAAGGTAGGACGGCTAGTGACAAGCTAGGACGGCTAGGAGACAAGCTAGGACGGCTAGGAGACAAGGTAGGACGGCTAGTGACAAGCTAGGACGGCTAGGAGACAAGGTAGGACGGCTTGTTCTTCCAATACAGAAATTAGGCACCATGTGTGAATAGATAAAGCCTTCTAGAAATAAGGTTTTTAGGCCCCCTTGCAGCTCCCTAACTGAATTCAAGCCTTCAAATTCGTCCATCCTCATGCCTCCATGCTTGCACTATCCAATCTTGGCCCAAAAATGCTCTAGAATGCTCCAAATTGCTTCTTTTTGCATACTTTGACACTAAAACCTGAAATTGCACGAAAATGACTTTAAACACTAAACTAACTAAGGAAAAACAACATAAATGCATGAGAACAAGCCAATTAAGTCGCATAAAAATGCTACTATCACAGCGATTACAAATTTTAAATAACCGAAAACAAAACCTCTACAGGGAAAAAAACCTCTTACATGACATTAATATGCATATATTCATCCTTTGATTCAAAGTTTCATACCCATTTATCTCTCACTAATGTAAAAAGAGAGACATACATAAAGGGATATGAAACAAAGGATGTGTAAGTTTTTCCTTTTGGATAAGGGAGAAAAGAAGCGAAATTTCATAGTATAATTACTCCTACTACACGTCAATATATAGTATATATCAGTTTTTAAGTGAGTCAAATATGATTCGCTCATTAAATTCTCTTGTATTCTTCAACCTATCCGGCTGTCAAAATTTAACAATGCATGTCATACATGGATGTACTGTAAATTTTTACTGCACATCAATTCATAGTATATATTGTATTTTAAGTGACTTAGATTCATTCATTAAATTATCTTTTATTCTTGAGCCCATCTAACTGTTAAATTTGACGATGTATATAATGCATTGATGCACTGAAGAATTTTTGTGTACAATAGCATGTCGTAAGAACACCAATTGGGTTGCACTACTATGTTTGAAGGGAAATAGTGAGCTACTCAATGGGACCATGTGCAGAAACATGTTCAATATTTCCATGAATTATAACGACCATGATGTGTTAGTTCAAGGTTTAGGAGGAACAATGAAAGCGATTTTGTTCACCCAACAACTTATTGGGCTACTCACAAAACAATGAAAAAACAAGTTGGCATTGGCCCTCAATGAAGATGGAATTATCAAATCCTTCAAGGAAAATAAACGAGTTTGTTGCACCCGTTGCATGAAACATGTGTCTCACGTTTATTATATTTTGTTTAGGCAACGAGTGCAAGGCGTAAATTGGGGCGTTTATAAATTAAGTTTAGTTTGGCTTAGTAAGAAAATTGTGGAGCTCAAGGGTCTCAATTAAATGAGGGCTATTGTATTATTCCTTATTTTTTTTTTTCTTTCTTTTTTCACAAGGAAGATAACATGTGGCAAGCCACGGTTATCCACATTTTTCAGACCCAGAGAGGCTATGGGGAATTCCACCCTGTCGGTGGCCACAACCAAGCAGACTCACCAATTCAAAATATCGAACATGAGACCGGCCAATGTATATGAAGCCTGATTAAGCAAATCAAAATGATAAACATGTATTAGACAGCTCCACATGATCTGTATTTGCATGTTCCCCTCCCATGCACAAATTCCCTTTCACCTCTAATTCACATGCAATTTCAACCCTGCAAAAAGTATGCAATCTAAATAAAAGCACATATATGCAGGGGCAGATACTAACTGCCTAATTTATTCTACAAACTTCCAATTGCAACATGCCTTCAATTTGGATTTAATTATTGGATACTTTCTAGAAAATGTGTAACTTTTTAATGTATTCGATACTCTGTATGTCACATGATGTTAATTATTTATTTAAATTATAACACGTTCATATTTTTTTAATATACTCTTGATGTGAGGCATATCAATTTTATTATTTATTCTTATTATTAACACATATAATTGTAGTTACTATGCATGTGTTCTCAATGAAAAATTAAATTCTTAAAATACGACGTGTAGAAAAGATTGGGAGAAGTTGTTGACATGTGTCACTGAAGTTCTAAAAGACGTTAAATGCTAGTTGGGTGGCAGACTGAGACCTAGCACATAGGTGGCAAGGCGGGGCTGTAACATCTCACATCATCCAGGGGAGTGGATCCTATAAGCCTTATATGTATATTCTCATCTCTACCTAGCACAAGGCCTTTTGGGAGCTCACTGGCTTCGGAGTTCATCATTGTAACATCTCATATCGTCCAGAGGAGTGGATCATGTAAGCCTTATATGTATATTCCCCATCTCTACCTAGCACGAGGTCTTTTGGGAGCTCACTGGCTTCGAAGTTCATCGGAACTCCGAAGTTAAGCTAGTTCGCACTAGAGCAATCCCAGGATGGATGACCCATTGGGAAGTTCTCGTGTGAGTTCCCAGAAACAAAATCGTGAGGGCATGGTCGGGGCCCAAAGCGGATAATATCGTGCTACAGTGGAGTCGAGCTCGGAATGTGGTGGGGGCCCGGGCCGAGATGTGACAAGGGCCTAGACAGATTTAAGTAATATATGTATAAATAAGGGTTTGCTTATACTTAAAAAATACATAATTTCATGAAAATATGAGGAACAAGCATATATTGCGTGTTCATCTAAGTATTTAACAAGTTTATTACAATTTATTGAAAAAATAAAATGCAAAATGAAAATGACCTATTATCTATCTACGAAGCTCATAGTCAAGCACATGATGAGATGATCCACATGTGGCCTGCTATTGTGAGAGTTGGGATTTAGGCAGGTCTAGATGGGCTTGGTGGGTGTTTAGGCGGGTTTGGATGAGCTCGGCGGACACCTAGGTGGTTTAGGTGGGCCCTAAACATCTACACGCTATTTCTTAATTTTCAAACACCTAATGATTAGCTGATTATCGTCTAGAAGCTGCTAGGCATAAATTTTTATAACAGTGAGAATCACAATCCGAATAATTCATCTAATGATGACCCCACATTAAAGCTTTCTTTACCAACCAGCAGCAAGGACAACAATGGCCAAATAATGATGTTAAGAATTTGTGATGAAAAATAAAAGGTGGTCCAGAATGACCAAGACATGCATTAAGACAAAAGTGGGTGTATTCTTATAATGAAACAAAAGAATAAGACAGATTAGGGGCAAAAATAATAAAATTATAAAAACAGAGAGGGAAAAAATAAAAAAATCAAAGTGGATATATATATATATATATATATATCCAATATTAGAAACATTGGCAAAAGTACTATTAATTTGCCTCTTTTTATATAGTTTAAATCAGTTTTACTAAGCTCCGTTCTCTTGATAACTTAATGATAAAAATTAAAAAAAATTTATTGTTAAATTGATATCAAGAGTAGAGATTAAAACATTAAAATCGCATTAATTAATTCTCCACCTTTGATAACCAACCCAAAACCCAATAACCATGTGTTTTTCAATCATCGGGTAACTTTGGAGAACATTTTTATAGTTTTACTTCTTCCAAAGAATATGGACAAGGAAACTGCTATCCACACACCCATTTGTAGGTCTCATACACCGTTGTTAATTTTTTGCCATTAATATCTTTTTTCAATTCATTTAATCCAACTATCGAAAACTGAGAGAGATGTGTAAAAAGTAAAAACGGATGGGTGTATAGCATCACCTTAGACCATCTTTAATCGAATGAGGGCCAAAGGGCTCTCTTTGGCCCTATAGCCCTCTAAGAAATTAATATTTTAATGAATAATGTCAGACCATTTTTCTTACCATCTCCAACCGAGAGGTCAGAGGGCCATAGGCCAAACATAGCCTTGTAACAAAAAACCATCTCCAACCGAGGGGGCTAAGGGGCCATAGTGCCAAAACATAATTTATTATTTTAATTGAATTAATATAGTTACTTAAATTAATCTACCTCAATAATTTTACGTTATGGGTTGTCCATAATTTTTCGAGATAGAATCTCAATAATTTTACGTCTCGGATCGAGTAGGCATTTAAATTTTGTGTTGTTAAGTGTTTTTAAAAATGTTGTTTAAGTTTCATGTTCTTTAAATGTTTTTTTTATTTTTTTTGTTGTATAATTTTTATGTTGTTTAATGTTACTTAATGTTATTTAATGATTTAGGAAGTTATAGGAAAAAAAAAATTGTAAAAAAAAAAAAAATATATATATATATATATATATATAATTCAAATATAACAGTTAGCTGACATCAGCAACTAGCCGTTGGATTCAAACTGCTAGACCAGCCCAGGGCTAGCTGGCTGGGTTGGGCTAGCCAATTGGTTATTTTCTCCTTTTTTGGCCTAGTGGGGCCCACGAGCCCTTTGGCCTTGCTCTAGGTTGAAGACGATTTTTGTGCAATTTCGGGCTATTTTCGGCCATGTGCCCCTTAGACCGGATCGGTTGTAGATGACAATGATGGTTTGGTGACCTAGGTGTAAAAAGTTCAATAATAATAATAATAATCATCATAAAAGGGGCTTACAGAAGCAGGTGATGGAAGCTAGCTGGTTGAAAATGAACATGGTGATTGCATTGACTTTAAACAGCCAATGTTTAAAGCTGAAAATTGTGATAATTGCTGCATAAAATGCTAATTTAAAAAAAATTGTCTTCATAATTATTTGGTATGGGTTCTGCTGCTTATACAGTTCCTAAAGGTTATTATCCTGGAAAGGGATCCGGAAAGAATCATTTTCCACCAAATCCATCAAATTCGGGATCTGTACTGTTGAAATTTGATCAAACAGGTACAGTTATTATAACTTTTAAAGGAGCTTTCTGTTTGTAGTCATTGAATCAAATTGCAACGATCCGGATCTCGAACTTGGTGGATTTGATGAAAAGAGATCCGAAGACGATCCCTTTCCATTATCCCCTACTTTGCTCTTTTTGCTACATGTGATGTTTAGAATTTTCATAAAAACGTTTATAGAATATAGTTGTCATGATGATAAGTTGTTTGACAAAAATCTCACAATACGGTTAAAATAAATGAATAAGATATAAAAAAAGGTGAACCGAAACAGGACCACAGAACAAGAAAAAAAAAATTATAAATCCGCCACGAAATAGAGCAAATCTAGTAATTCTACAAGCCATTAGACTTGGTTCCCAAATACGTATTATTGGAAAGATAGATATATTGGTATATATAGCCTTTACTAAAACAAATAGTTTCCAGATAAATGTTAAGACTAGAATCTCTAACGCTAGTTTTTAAGAGTCAACACATATCTGTGTATATGTATGCTAGTTTTTGGAAAGAGTCAACATATATCCATGTAAGCTAGTTTTTATTTTATTTTTATTTTTGAACAAACGTTAGTATCTGTACTAAGAAAATGAGAGAATGGGTTGTGACTTACAATAGGCTTGGACAATAATGTGATTCAATTTTTATTTTTAAAGAGAATCGAACTTAACACATCTTGATTACAAATACCAATAAATAGCACTAGACCGTTGTAGTAAGTGTGTTGAATTGTGAGTTCGGGATCTGGTGGACGGAAACGCCGTTATTGTGGGCCGGACTGGTTTGGCTCGGATGGTGACGTGTTGACGTCAGGTTGTGACATGTTAACGTGCTCTTTTCGTCCTTGAGCTGTCGTTTGTTAACGATGGGTGGAGAGGTTTATGGTTAATCCTGGCCGCTGAGTTTTGTGTCGCTGTGTTAGAGCCCGTAGGATTATGTGACGGCGTTTGGTTAACTTTTTTGGCCACGTACACTTACGATCCACTCGCTCTCACCACCGGTCACGTTATATTAACTCTCCACACTCCTCAGCTGCAGCAGCAGCCCCCACTCCCTTCTTCTTCATCGAGAGCTTCTTCAGAGAAACGGGTATTTCCCCAGAGCCCTCCAAAGCCTCGTGAATTCAAATAGCGGCCCCATTCTTCTTAATTTTTGTACTTTTTAACCCCAAAAAATTGAAAAAAGGTAAAATCTTTTACCTCTCTGGCCTTCTCACATGGGATGCTGATTTCGCTTCCGGCACCATCAGTTTGGAGTCATCATCACATGTACGTTTCCACTCCTCTCTCTCTCTCTCACATTCCTCACAGTAATTTTCTCTCTCCACATTTTTGTTTCTTGTTCTAAAGAGTAATTTTACTCTGGATTATTTGGGTTCAGAGGCAGATTTGAACTGGTTTTTCACTTGGGTTCACTCAATAAGCAGAGAACTTTGATGGGTCAGATCTGAAATCAATGGTGTTTATGTGTAGGTACGTTTTGAGCTTCTGGGCGCTTTTGTTTTCCATTTTTTTTTTTTTTTACAGTTTCTGGAAACAATGCCCATGTAAATTTTTTTGGGTTTCTGCAATTTTTTCGAAATTTGAACTTTGCAAAGCTCAAAGCAAACAAAGAACAAAGAACAAAAAGAAGCTCGATTTCTGGGAGTACTTGTGCATACTTTGCTTCTTTTTGCACAATAAAATAACCCCCTTTTTAATTATAAAAACACGACATTCAAAGCCTGCAAAAGTTCGTTTCTTTATATCAGAAATTTCTGAGAGTCACCTCTGCTTTTTCTCGACAATGTTCTTGGAATCCGATTTACTTTTCTTTTTTTCCTTTCGCTTTACATTCTGTCTTTTGTATTTTTAGCTTGTTAATTCCCTCTATATTTTGTCAGAAGCTTGAAAAGATTAAAACTTTGCAGGAACAGCTCGCTTTCTGCTTCAAGGGTTTGGGATTTTGGTGTGAGGGTAGTGAGGGAAATGGCGGGTCATGGCATTTTGTTTTGGATTTTGCTTTTGGGTTTGATTTTCTTGCAAGGAAATGCAAACCCAGTTGAAGATAAGCAGGCGTTGCTCGATTTCGTGAACAATTTCCCTCACTCTCGCCCTCTGAATTGGAACCAGAGCAGTTCTGTGTGTGACCACTGGACTGGAGTGACTTGTAGTGAGGATAAGTCTTATGTCATAGCTGTCCGATTGCCCGGCATTGGATTTACCGGCCAGATACCGGCCAACACGCTTAGCCGCCTCTCGAGGCTGCAGACTTTGAGTCTTAGATCCAATGTGATTAATGGGGAGTTCCCTTCTGATTTCTCCAATCTGAAGAATTTGTCTTTTCTGTATCTTCAGTTCAACAACTTCTCTGGGCCATTGCCCTTGGACTTCTCGGTTTGGAAGAACCTCACCATTGTTAATTTGTCTAACAATCACTTCAATGGGAGCATTCCTTTTTCGCTCTCCAACTTGACTCAGCTTTCGGGATTGAATCTAGCAAACAACTCGCTTTCGGGTGAAATCCCTGATCTTGGACTACATAAATTGCAGCAGCTTAACTTATGTAACAACAAGCTGAATGGTAGTGTCCCTGAGTCTCTTCAGAGGTTTCCAAGGTCGGTGTTTGTTGGTAACAACGTTTCTTTTGCAAGTTTTCCACCTGAGCTTCCCCCAGTTCTTCCGCCCACCCCTAAACCATATCCGAAATCTAAGAATGGTGGGAAGCTTGGTGAGACAGCACTGTTGGGAATTATAGTTGCTGGTGCCGTTTTAGGCATTGTAGCATTTGCATTTCTGATACTTGTTTTCTGCTCAAGAAGAAAGAAAGAAGATGGGCTTTCTGGAAAATTGTCCAAGGGGGAAATGTCACCGGAAAAGGTGATCTCACGGAGTCAAGATGCAAATAATAAACTGGTATTCTTTGAGGGCTGCCACTACGCATTTGATCTGGAGGACTTATTGAGGGCTTCAGCTGAGGTGCTTGGGAAGGGGACATTTGGTACAGCATATAAGGCTATACTAGAAGATGCAACCAGTGTGGTGGTGAAGAGGTTGAAGGATGTAAATGTTGGAAAGCGGGACTTTGAGCAACATATGGAGGTTGTCGGCAATATTAGGCATGAAAATGTGGTTGAATTGAAGGCGTATTATTATTCCAAAGATGAGAAGCTGATGGTATATGATTACTACAATCAAGGGAGCATCTCTGCGTTGTTGCACGGTACGTTACTGTCTTCCATATATTATAGTTGATACATGTTAGCCTGGTCACGCTGATAATCTTTCTGTTGAAAAGAGTTGAAGTTGAAAAGAGTTGAATGTAAATAGTTGATTGTTTACCTCTTTCTTTCGAAGTTAATACCCTTGATATCCCGTACGTTATAGGCATTATCTTTCTATTAGTACTCTGCTGTATCTAAAATTGGTGGAACAACTTGTATTGTATTTGATCATTATAATCTGTTGGACCTGTACTACTAGGTATGTGAAGGATGCCATTTGGAACAAGCCCGAAACATAGAGGAATACTATGAGTCTTAGCTTCAATTCACTGTTTTTAAATGGTTTTAGGTCGTCAAATATTTGAACGTGCCATGGTTAACTCCTTTGCTGTGTAAGGCTTCTACGATTCCTGTGGCTTACAATTTTTTAACGCTTGAATTTTGAGGGTTAGGAGCTAATCTTGTTTTAATCAATAAAACAATAATGACCAGTGATAATTGGTGCATCAAAATACTACATGGTAGGTATCAACCGTGTGTGAAGTTTTGTGGTACATCACGTACTGGTTCACCTGTCAAGAGAAAGTAGCTTCATAAGAGTCTGTGAGTGGGTTCACTGATGTTACTTTGCCTTATACCTTTGTAAGGCTTCAACATTTCTTTGACCAAGGAATGTAAGTTTTGAAACTAGGATAATCCATGGTTACTCAATATGAAGTGATATTTTGGACATTGGGGAGTAAATATCTGTCTGAATAGCTTGTTTGTGTAAAAGGTCCTCTGGTTCTTACATTCTATACTTCTTTGTTTGTAATCCATGTGGTGCGCTGGAAGTGTTCATTCCCTCAAGGCAGAGACATGCAAATATTGTATTTTACACATCATGCTTGACAATATTTGGTTGGTGGCATGCTTGGCATTCTTACTCCGTTGTCTATGCTGCACGCTTCATCCCTTGTAGTGGCTAATATATATCATGCAATATTCTTTCCATTTTCAGGTAGAAGAGGTGAGGACAGAAATCCTTTAGATTGGGACACCCGACTGAGAATAGCAATTGGAGCCGCAAGGGGAATTGCTCATATTCATACAGCGAATGGTGGGAAGCTTGTCCATGGAAACGTCAAAGCCTCAAACATCTTTGTAAACACGCAACAGTATGGTTGTGTTTCTGATGTTGGTCTGGCAACTATAATGAGCTCACTGGCTCCACCAATCTCCCGTGCTGCTGGTTACCGAGCTCCAGAAGTGACAGACACCAGGAAGTCAGGACAACCTGCTGATGTCTACAGCTTTGGGGTTGTCTTACTGGAACTCCTCACTGGAAAATCCCCAATCCATACAACTGCTGGTGATGAGATTGTCCATTTGGTCAGGTGGGTTCATTCAGTTGTCCGAGAGGAGTGGACAGCGGAAGTGTTTGACATAGAGCTGATGAGGTATCTAAATATAGAGGAGGAAATGGTGGAGATGTTGCAGATAGCCATGTCTTGTGTTGTAAGGATGCCTGATCAACGACCTAAGATGCTGGATGTAGTGAAGATGATAGAAAGTGTCCGTCAGGCAGATAATGACAATCGACCATCTTCTGGAAACAGATCCGAGAGCTCAACACCACCTCCGGTGGTTGGAGCAGAAAATCCAACTTTGCAATGAACGAGCGCCACTTGCCATTTTCCCCATCCGGTGTATTTTTATTTCATCTCAAAATGTTGTTTTGGTCCGTTTAGTGAACAAATTTGTGGTTACTTTTTTTATTTTATTTGTCAAGTTGATCCAATTTAGATAGAAATCTAGGTCATTGTCAATGTATTAGTGGCTGGCTGTTGATTCTCACAATGGCATTTCAAATGTGCTTTGTTTAGTTTGGACATTTATTTGGTCAATCTGCACAAAGTTTTTCACTTTTCAGAGCTGCAAGTTAAGTTTGATGCTAATTGCTGCATGGCCAAAGTTCATCAGAATGTGAAAAATATTGGAGGGAAAACTCAAAATTTCAAAGTAAGTTGTACGAAAATTCTAAAGTGGTGGTGGGGAAAAGCACTGTCTCTCTGTTCTCAAACCAGAAAATGGGAAACATTATATTGACCAAAAAACAAAAACAGAGGAAAATGGAAGGCTACTCTTCAAGAGTCAACAGTCCATGGCATGGAAGAAGGAATACATTTCGAAAAAGTACACAACTGTGTACCAAGTTTAGTCCAAGACTCCATTAGAGCATCTTCACTAGTTGGTCAACTTTTCACCGCAGGACCCACCTGCTTGATGTTGACGTCACCCATTTCTAGCGGGGGCTCAAGGTTGGGCATATGTTGTTCGAGCTTTTGGGCGGGCTTCATATGGCCCACCACTTGCCCTCTTCTTCTTAGACTGCTAGAGGTGGTCTTGGAATTGAAGGGCATGTTTTGTGCCCTTATCCTTGCCTTCTACCAACTGATGGATATGCTCTTAGTTATAAGAATGTTTACCCTTCTTTTTGGTGTGCCTTGACCTTAGTGGAGGATGACTTCCATGATCCTAAACATTACTCAGCATGTAATCATACTATGGAAGTTGCTCTCACTTTAACGGTTAAATGCACATTAACAAGAAATCAAAATGTGTTATGTTATTCAATAATACCTTTGCATTAATGCTTTCCCAAGTGAGAAGATGAGAGAATTAACAACAGGGAGCCAACAGCCAAGGTGACACATGATGCGGGAATTATACGCACACAAATTAAACCCTCTTTTTGTCAATTGTAGTAAGTATGTAAGTAGGGATCGTTCTGGACCGGGGATTAGGAGGGATTGTTAATCACTTGGATTTGACTTCAAAAACGTAAAAACAAGTTTAAAACACTATTTGATGCGAAGAATGCAAAACTAAAAATAAGAAAGATTGAGACTAAGACTTAAACAAAATATGGGGGGGGGGGGATTTAGGTTTGGACGAGATTAAACTAAAATGGATAGATTGCAAAGAAAACAAATTGTAAATACGAATTTGACGGAAATGAATGGATGGGAAGCTAGCTAAGGGGTTCATCTCAACACATGTTATACTTGCATACAAAATGATTTCTAATTGCTTTTCAATAAACCATGAATTCTCAACACCCCGAGTTAATTAGGTCCGCTTAAATTAACCGTCAAGTTTTCCTTAAGTCAATGAATTGGATGATTGCATACGACAACCCAAAGCATTCCCCACAAGTTCCCTACATGAATTGCATAATAGAGATACAAGCAAGAATCATTAAGTTTTTTGAAAACCATAAGTGTTGACGAGGCATTCGTTACTATGATTGCATGAAACTTATGCCAAGAATTCTTGACGCGATTGTTTATAAGCAACCTCCACTACTTGTGAATATAAGTTCATAACTATTAGGTGAAACTCACTTATATTCTAGCGTCATATTCATGCATGAAAATTAAGCGTGCACTCTCAATAAACATACATAAATAGGTTATCAATCAAATAGTTAAACAAATTGAATTCACAACTTATGAAACGTAATTAGAAGTAATCAAATCATATTGCAAGCATAAACATATATTTCGAATCCCCCCCTAGCCAAGGGGGGTTTAATTCCTCATACGTACAAGACAAAGAGAATTGAAATTAAACATTGGAATCAAGGAAAAGCAACACCTAAAAATTCCAACAACTCAAACTTGAATTGTATGAACGTTTAGGCACTCTTCTCCTCCTCTTCGTTGTAGCATAAGGTCTAAGGGATGTTGTTGGTTTGGTGTTTGTATGGAGGAATGGTTGGGAAGTGTTTTGGATGGATGGGGAGTGGTGGAAATGAAGAGAATGATGCTGGAAATGCAAAGAAGGCCACGGCAAAGGGATGAAATGGTGTGTTTGTGGTGTGTTGTGTATGAAATGAGGTGTGGGATGAATTCCTTGACAAATGAATGGGAATGCAAGGGTTTTTATAGGAGGAATGGAGGTGTATATGGCTGTTTGTTTAGGATGCATGTGGCTAGTTAATGATGGAAAAACAGCTAGGAAAGCATGTGAAAGCTGGAATTGCATGTGGCAAGGTGTGTATATGTGCTGGAATGGTGTGTGAAGGCCACGGCATTGAGTTTTCTTGCTGATTTTCTGGTTGCATGATGAAGGGTTAATAAATAATGCATGTAGGTGGCTGCAATGATGAAGAGTGAGAGCTGGAAAAGGTATGAAATGCACGGCAAAGATGTTAATGGTGCTGAAAATGCATGTGAATGCATGCTGGAATTGCATGTGAATGCATGCTGTAATTGGGAGTGAAAGGCACGACATTGAGTTGGGAAATGAATGATTAAATGTGCATGGCTGGAATGATGAAGAATAAAGGGTGCATGTGGGTTGGAAATGGCTGGAACAAAGGGGGAATAATGATGAAGAAAAGCTGGAAATGTTAGGGAATGTGCACGGGACAAGGTGAATGGGTGATGCGTTGAATGTGCATGTGGGTGAATGTGTGGCAAGTCTTGTGGAATTGTGTGAAGTGTGTGTGAATGCATGTGAGTGGCTGATTTGTGGTGCAATGATGAAGAGTTGCATGTGGGTTGGAAATCTAAGGGGAAGGCACGGCAAAGAAGAATGTTTGGTGCTTGAAATGCATGTGAATGCATGTGAGTGCATGTGTTGGTGGTTTTGCATGGCTTTGATGGATTGTTTGATTGGGCTAGAGGTTTTCCATGGCTTAAAAGATTTGTTTGATTGGGCTAGGCCTTTTGTTTTATGTCCCAAAGAGCATACAAGGCTTCAATTTCGTCCATCCTCTTTGCTCCATGATTAAGCTATCCAATCCATGCCCAAAAATGCTCCAAATAGCCTCAAAATGCACTTTCTTGCTCCCTAAGCCCTTAGAACCTGAAAACACACAAAAGAAGCATAAATGACCAAAATAACTAGAGAAACATAACGTAAATGCACGAGAACAAGCCATTTAAGTCGCATGAATATGCTCCTATCAACACACTCCGATCCGGCATGTTCATTTGGACTCTGAATTGAGTTATGCTGGCTAACACCAGGAAGGTGATGAAGCCATAAAATGTGGTGATTTATGTTGCAGAGAAGAAGAGAGATACGGAGAGAGAGAAAGAGAGAGAGAAAGAGAGAGAGAGTGTGTGTGTGTGTGTGTGTGTGTGTGTGTGAGAATTCCTTTGATTGGCCGAGAGAGAAGGAAGGAAAGTGATCGGATGGTAAGTATGGTCTACCTTAAAGGAACTGGATTTAAAGGGGTGTGTGTGTGTGTGAAATCCTTTGATTGCCCGAGAGAGAAGGAAGGAAAGTGATCGGATGGTAAGTATGGTCTACCTTAAAGGAACTAGATTTAAAGGGGATGTGTCCACAATTGGACAATTCTAGAAGTTAAAATAAATCTACCTCACCTGTTCTAAAAATAGTGTTTACCGACACCAAGTAACACACACTTGTACATTTTTACCAGTTGTTAACGAACTTTAAATGAGCATAGTTTCTTCGTTACAAATCTGATTCAGGTCTAATTCCGCTCGTGCGTACGTAAGATCAAGTACTAATTATTTACGATAATAGGAAAAACAAACTAAATGTGAAGCATCAAACGTCCACGTCAGATTCTACTTGTGCCAAAAGGGCATATTCATCATTTTACAAACTCGCGAAGGAAATTACATGGAAAATTAGAGACGGGTCGTCACAACCTACCCCCTTAAGAAAATTTCATCTCCGAAATTTCTCCATTACTGAGGATTATAATCAAAAGAACAAACATGGATAAAGAGCTTGCATGCGTTCCTCCATCTCCCAGGTAGCTTCCTCAATTGAGTGGTTTCTCCACAAGACATTCACCAGTCGAACGATTTTGTTTCTGAGAACTTTTTCTTTCCAATCAAGAATCGTCACTAGAACCTCATCATAAGTCAAGTTTGGGTTAATCTCCAACAGCTGGGGATGAATCACATGTGACAGATCAAAGATGTATCTCTATAGCATGGACACGTGTTGGTACCTAATTTGATTCTATGGTGGCAAGTCGAGTCGGTGCGTAATTCTAATACAATCTGATGGGCAGGGACATAGTTATTTTCTCTTACCATTATTTGCAACCTCTTGCTACAATAGTAGCTTCTAAATTACTAAATCCCCAACAATAAAGATTCACTCAGTAGCGTGTTTCTCGGGGTTGAAGAATTGATAGTCCTGGCTAAACTTCAATGCAAGAGTGGTTCTCATGTACAATATGCCCATCTTAGAAATGATATGAAGTGTTGTAAGGTAGACACGTACCTAAGGTTGACCAGAATGCCTTCTAGTACAAGGAAGTGAGTATGGAATCAAAGTCAAAGTAGATGCTGACCGAAAGTTTAGAAAGTTTGATAAATTTAGGAATGAAAATTCTTACCAATATCTTAACTGTGGCATATGAAAATCAGGTGCTCATGAATATATGCTAACACACGAGTCCATGTAGAAAAATTCTGATATGAATAAGACTAGGTGTAATGAAAATATACGCTCTAGTACTACAACCACATGAAGACTAACGTTAAGTGGATCACATACGAGTCTCAGTTGCCTATTGCAACCTAAGACAAGACTGGCTTGCGGTGAGTACTACACCGGTACAAGCATGCATGATAAGCAGCTAATGTGTATATGAACATGTCATGACAATTTATAAATCTCAACAATATAATAGTACTTTTAAGATGAAATAAAAACATGGCATGATATGTATGATATTAAATCCAAATGCATTTGTGCAAACCATAAAAATTTATATATAATATAATTAAAAACAAATACTCACTCACACTTTATGTTTTTCGCCATTCCAGGACTTAGTTAGCTAAATCTTTTGTGGTGAACGAGGGATCCCTGTCGATTCTAACATCCACCCAAATAAATGTAGGAGTTTGTTTCCTACTGTGTA